GGTAGTGGAGGTGGTAGGTGTGGAGAAAGATAGTGGAGGTAGTAGGTGAGTGGTATAGTGGAGGTGGTAGGTGTGGAGAAAGATAGTGGAGGTAGTAGGTGAGTGGTATAGTGGAGGTGGTAGGTGTGGAGAAAGATAGTGGAGGTAGTAGGTGAGTGGTATAGTGGAGGTGGTAGGTGTGGAGAAAGATAGTGGAGGTAGTAGGTGAGTGGTAAATTCTAACATGTTGGGATCTCCTCATTTATGTGATGGGCATAATAGGTTTTGGCCAAAAATAGAGGCGTTGGATAAAATGGTGTATCCATACAATTAAATTTTCCATTACGGTAAAAGGCTCTCCTTCAAGTTTCTTCTCCAGTTCTAGGGGGCTAAGACAAGTAGACCGTTTATCCCTTTATTTGTTCATCTTGGTCATGAAAGCATTGAGTAGGTTGATCCAAAGTCAAGGGCAGCACTAGATAGATGGGTGTGGTGTTCCACTAGACTTTGAAAGACTATTAAAAAGAATTTTTTATTTATATTTTTTGGTAAAGTTGACCCAGCTGATTTACAAAATTTGAACCAATTGCAAACAGTCAAAACGAAATTTCGAAAGTTTCATTCTACTTGGTACAGATCCTCTATATCCCAGTTTCCCTTGTGGTCATGTATCCAAACTCCTTCCCACCATATAGTCGGTGCTGGAGAGATTGATCGTCCGGTAGAGATAGTGTTTGGAACAATGGGATAGAGGTGATTGGGTGCAAAGAATATATCTTATTGCTTTTACCAATAGGGACTTCAATGGAAAAGACATTTCCAGTGATGAAATTCAAAACAATCAAATGGGAGATCAGTTGATTATTGATTTTTTTAGTCACATACATTGAAAATGAGATATTTGATAGCATTGGCAATGAGTCGATTATACAATGATTTTAAAATATGAAAGGCAATGTCAAAGTCTATGTATTTACTTCTTCTTCTTTTCTTTTTCTTTTTTTTCTTTTTTTTTTTGTAAAAACATTACTATGAATGTACTAAATTCTTTGTTTAATTGAGATTTTTAAGAAATTTAAACTTTGTCAAATTATTGAAATAGATCTTGACAAGAGTGAATAATTTTCTTTATAGAATTTGTGTAACTTCTTTATTGACTGAAGAAAAATTCTAAAGCCACCATTGTCTGTAGGGCTGTTCAAAGGGGTAACTGGTTTTGAAGTTAGAGGCAGGATAGGGCCTGTCGAAGAGATATCCCATACTAATCTTATGGAATACACTACGTTTTTTGTGAAGTAGAGGATGAGCAATTGAGTCATTTGTAGTGTGTCTTCACTTGCTTTGAGGTTGTGTCAGGCCTCGTTTGGGAACAGGCTATTTTAGTAACTTTTTGGCTTTTTACGAAAAAATGTGCAGAAAAGTAGAGAGGTGATGTGACTAGTTTTAGTTGGTTTTTTGGCTAAAATAGTCAGTCCCCAAACGAGGCCTCATGGTAAAAGTAAATATTGGGAAGAATGAATTCATTCCCGGGGAAGTCCAAAACATTCAAGGTTTGGCAGATTTCAAGTTGTGACCTTTGCCTACGGTGATCTTCGGCTTCCACTTGGTTCAGCTTATAAGAGCAACTCCAATTCTTAACCTTTCTTTCCATCAAATTTAAATTTGATGAAAAAGTGCTCAAAAACCATCTCCAATCCTTTCATCAAATGTGTATCGAATCAAGGGAGAAACATTTTTTTCATCAAATTGAGAATTCATCAAATCCTTCATCAAATTTGAATGAGATGAAAATTTAAAGAGATAAAGCATTGGAGATGATATTTTTAATCAAATTTGATGAGAAAGGAAATTTGGGATAATATGATATATTTTAAAAAGATTTTGATGAAAGGGTTGGAGTAGTTCATATCAAATCAAATTTTTTACTCAAATTTGGAATCAAATTAGAAAAAAATAAAAATAAAAAAATAGTGAAGGGTTGGAGATAGTCTAATCAGATATTAGGTATTGGATGGGATTGTGGAGAGGTTTGAGAGACTTGCAGGCTGAAAGCCCAATATCTATAATCTTGTATTTTTATATTCACTGATTTGTGTTCATTTGGACTTATTTGTACTAAACCACTTTGTTAATAATTAAAGCATCCATTCAAGAATTATTTTTCCAACAAGAAAGAAAACAAAATACACACACAAATATACACCTATTCTTATGTTCTATTATATAATGTGTACATCTCATATTTCGTATGAACATTTTCTGAAACTTCGTCATTCATTTTTTCTCAATAATACCTATAAAATTGTTAACTGCTCACACTTTTTTCCTAAATACAATTTGGTTAATTTAAAATTCCAAAGTCCTTTTTCAAATTCAACTCATATTGCAAAGTTTAAAACTATAATTCAGTAAATTTAAAATTCCAAATCCTCTTTTCAAATTCAACTCATCTTCCTAATTCATCAAATCCACTTTTCATGCTCAATGAAATTGAAATCAAGAGAACGATAAAGAGAATGAAGTATTCGTACTTGTGAAACCCATTCAATGGCGGGAGAGATCAAACGGCAAGGACCGCACCAATTGGCGACGAATTCAACAAGAACCGGACGATCAGAATTCAATACTACCTCAGAGAATTGTCTCTCGTTTATCTCCGTAACACCACAGGTAATCACCGATTTGCTGCGAAATGAAGAAGAAGAACGAAACCCTAACCCTAGCTTTCGACAACGGAGAACGAGCTTCTCCGGCGAAGGTGTGAACAAACTGGTGCTGTGCAAGTTAATGGTGGAGGCCACAGTACGAACCGGTGTAAATGGTCGTGCCAACAAAATCGTTGGGTTCGAGACCATTGTATCCATGTTGGAGCTCAGTTTTAGAGAAGAGAATCTTGGAGAGAGAGAGAAAGAGAGAGAGTTCAGAGCGTTATCGTGAGAGAAGGGAAATTGCGTCCAGTGATCCAACTGATGGGAAGACGAGTAGCACTCATATTTTCGGATAATTACAACTGTCCCATAAATTTTTTATAATTATAAGAACCTGTTAAATAAGGCTCCAAATTAATTGAGCCATTCACAAACAGGTTCGGCTCGGCTCGGCTCAGTTTGTTAAGGGTTTGGTTTGGTTCGACTCGTTTAGTAAATGAGTTAATATTGAGTTTGAATATTAGACTTATTTAGTAAATAAACAAAACTCGAGTTCGAATAAGTTCCGCTTGTTTATCTTTATTTAAATTATATAATTAATATTATTTATATATTAAATAATATATAAATATATATAAAACTTGTTAACCTCTGTTTGATCGGTTAAGAGACAATCATCCTTCTTGATCTTCTACTCATACTACTATTGTTAAACAGGTTAAACATTATGTCAAGACTCTTCCTTGTCTTGGTATTCCTACTGAAAATTCATTCAAAATTATTCAAACTGATGCCTCTGATATTGGTTATGGTGACATCCTTCTCCAGAAAATTACTCCTCAGTCGTCTGAACAAATTATTTGTTATCATTCTGGTATTTGGAATAAAGCACAAAAGAATTATAGTACTATTAAATAAGAAATTTTATCTACTGTTTTATGTATTAGTAAATTTCAAGATGATTTTTTAAATCAATTTTTTTTATTTCGTGTTGATTGCAAATCTGCTAAATATATTTTAGAAAAAGATGTTCAAAATCTTGCTAGTAAGCAAATTTTTGCTCGTTGGCAATCTATTTTAAGTATTTTTTTAATTTTGAAATTGAATATATACCTGGTTGTCAAAATTCTATTCCTGATTTTCTTACCAGAGAATTTTTAAAGGGTGGATAGTGAGTTACATCATACCCATTCTCTCTATTCCTTACCATAAACACCAGATTAAACACTATAAAACCTTAGTCAAACATACTGTCGTTATCATTCTGGTGTCTAGAATAAAGCACAATTAAATTATAGTACTATTAAAAAAGAGATTGTCTACTGTTTTATGTATTCAAAAATTTTCAAGATGATTTTTTAAATCAAAATTTTTTATTTCGTGTTGATTGCAAATCTGCTAAATTTGTTTTAGAAAAAGATGTTCAAAATCTTGCTAGTAAGCAAATTTTTGCTCGTTGGCAATCTATTTTAAGTATTTTTTTTATTTTGAAATTGAATATATACCTGGTTGTCCAAATTCTATTCCTGATTTTCTTACCAGAGAATTTTTAAAGGGTGGATAGTGAGTTACATCATACCCATTCTCTCTATTCCTTACCATAAACACCAGATTAAACACTATAAAACCTTAGTCAAACATACTGCTCGTCGTCTTGCCTTTTTCAAATCAACCCATTTATCTACTAAAAGAGCCCAGTACATACAATTTCATCGGATTAAAGCTCAGAAACAACAACTTTCGCATTATATTAACTGTTTACATGAACATACTAATCAATTAGATATCCTCAGTGGATGCTAATTTATCTCCTCCATTTCATAGATGTCTCGTCCACGGCCTCCTTCCAAAGTCTTGGTCCCTGCTAGTCAACCTTTTGTTCCGCCTCCCATGGAGTTAGTAACGAAATACCATCTTGCTGAATTAGTTAACCGTTACCAAATTCTTGGTATCATTCCTAAACCTAGTTATACATCTGCTTTGGCTACTGATCCTTTTGCTTCATCTAGTCAAGTAGTTACTCCATACCCTCTTAATCCTATTAAATCAGCCCGATCTGATTATGTTAAATTCACCACTACTAATCTATTTTTCAAAGAACCTAGTCACCCAAAGAGTCATACTATTCATGATCTGGTTAAATCTTATTTTCCTCTTGGATGGCATTTTATTCCTCTCCATCCAGAAAAACACAATTACTTTCTACAAAGACATCCTGTTCAACTATCAACCAATTATGATTAAACCCATTTATGATCGCACTTACACAAGTAAAATTGTGTACCATTTACTTTATATTCACAACTTTGTTTCTCTGTTTGATTGGGGTTCTCCTTATCAACTACGAGATCTGCCTGGTCATTCAATTCAATACAATTACTATGATTACATTGATGCTTGGTTCAAAGTCCTCTTGTATCAAAATGAGTCAAACAGTCACTCTTGATTTCTTCAATTTGATCAAAAGTTCAAATCCGAATTACCTACCTGGTTTCTGCGATGGTGGACTTAGTATGGCGCCATTTCAACAATCTTCTCATCAGTCATTATGGATCAAGTTAACTATTTTTCCACTGTTTTCTCATTCACTCCTCAGCAAAGGAAATTCCCTCCATTACTTATTTTTATATCCAAATACAAAATCCCTTGGATATTCAAATGGCAATATGGTATTTCTGATGATGTTATTTACCGGCAACACATGGTTAAATGGTGGGATAATTTCAAGATTTCACGAATTGTTGAAATTGTTCAAACTGAATTTTCAATCAACATTCATGCCCCTACACCTGCCATGATTAAAGCTCAGCAGAACCCAACTGTTTCATTAACACAAGGAAGCCAACTTTCTCCAGTCAATCTTGGAAGTCCATCATCCAGTTCTTCCAGGCCCAAGTCATCCAAATCAAAGATTAAATCCAAGTCAGCAAAGCCCAGTACTGACTAGCCCAAGTCAAAGGATAAGTCTAAATCAAACGTTAAGCCCAAGTCCAAGTCATCCAAAGATGAGCTCCTCCAAATGGTTCGTCTCCTCATGGCCCAAGCCAAGTCAGACTCGGATAACAGCAGTTCAGAAGATGGTTCAGACAGTTCAAACTCTTCTGAAGGATCAACTACTCAAAATCCATATGGACCTGAGTTCCAAGATGCTCAGGACCCATATGCTTAATTTAGTCATTGGATTCTATATAGCTATAATTATCAACTTTAATCAATACTCATCTTTTGAGAAAAGCTGCTAATATATATATCTATATTGATTCCCTCAATCACATGTCTCCAAGCAATGAATAGTAAAAAAGTCAACTTTACTGTTCACTATTTATCAAAAAGTCAACATTACTATTCATCATTCATCATGATTCATCCCACCGAAAAATTCAGCACAGTAAAAGCTTTAGTCATTCACCGAAAGCAGCAGACAACTCCCATATGCTTCTAATGCTCCTTTCAAGTCAAGACTATTCACTCACAAGGCTAACAGTGGTCTCTTTTGATTATAAAAGGGCCTCTTCAGTCAAGAATAAGGCAGAGTTAAAAAAATTGCGAACATTCCTTCCTCAAGAAAATAGCTTTCTCTGTAATTTTATATGCTAATGATATCACCATAAATTAAATTGTCATATTCAATGATACCAGTAGGTTGACTAAGAACATCTCTAATTTTGTGAGCAAACAAACTAGGTAATCCGTTAATAAATTTTTCTTTCCAAAAAGATTTAGTACAATCTTCTCTTAACATAACTCTAGAGGTGAATACATCTTTATACCATCTAAAATCACTTAATTTTGGACAAGTAAGGTTACTAAGTTGATCATGTATGCGAGAATATATATTAGTAGGAGTACCTATGAAATGTCTAACTATGGTATAGTTTAATGTGTTAACACCATCAGGTTTATAGTAACCAATAGTTTCATCAAAGATAGGTAAATCATTTTCATCTTTTTGATTAGCATGTAAAATAGATTCTTTTTGATCTTCAGTTAAGTATTTTTCCCACCAAGATTTGAGTATACCAGTAAAACCAGAAATGATTAAAGAAGCAATTTCAGGTTGAGTGTAATCAGGGTAATTACTAAAATAACTATTTGCAACCATAGATAAATGATTTAATTTTTGAAGTATTTGATCTTCACTAAGACCATCAATATTCCATTCGTACAACTTTTTAGCAGATACAGAAAATTGATTATTAAGATTAGTTTCTTCATATTGGAGATCAGGAGGAGTAGGTCTAGAATACCAGTTTTTAGTAAGAGATGTAGGATTAGGCTTCGGATAATGAATTTTATTCAGATTAGAGGATTGAAATTGTTGAACTAATTGATTAATTTCATCATCAGTTGTATAAGTTTCAGATTGATGAGAAATAGTATCGATACTAGGTTGTTGATTTAATACAGTAAGATCTTTTTCAATAGAAGGAGAGGCTTTCTCAGAAGTAGTTAATTTGGTAAGTAATTGTTCTATGGCTTTAACAGTAGTATTATCTTGGGTAACTAAACTATTTCGTTTAGAACGATTACTAGGTAGATTAAGCAAAGGTTGATCTAAGGATTGTTTAGTAGATGTATTGTTAGCCGAATAATCATCTAAATTGGTTTCTATTTTATCTAATTGTTTACCAATTATTTTTAAACATTGATTAGTATAATTATTTTGTTCAATAACTTTTCTAATTTCAGGGTCAGTACTAGGTAGCTTAAAAGGAGCGGTTGGGACATCAGATCCTTGGTGTTCAATAATTATATTAGCTAATGGAGGATGACTAGAACTAACAGAAGTATTTGGAGAAGTTTTCCATTTATGTTTTGTGATTGTACTAACCTTTTTGTAATAGTTGTCTAAATATTCAAAGAAATGAATTTTCATACTATATTTAATCATAAAATCATACCATTTTCTAGTAAGTTTATATTGTTGCGTAGAATCATATTTAGCATGATAAGCATGTCTTTTAGTTCTATTTTCTTTAGATTTAAATTCAGCATGTAATTTATCAAGATTAGGAGCAAAAGATTTACTAATTGTCATTAATTGAGGATTAATATTATTTATATATTAAATAATATATAAATATATATAAATAATATTAAAAAAAATCTTATCAAGTCGAACCGAGCTCAAATTTCTTTAATATTAACGAGTCGAGTCGAGCTAAATCGAACTGAGCCGAGCTCGAGCCCAATTACTTATCGAGCCG